AGAAAGAAAGAAAGAAAGAAAGAAAGAAAGAAAGAAAGAAAGAAAGAAAGAAAGAAGGAAAGAAGGAAGGAAGGGAGGGAGAGAGAAAGAAAGGAAGAAAGGAAGAAAGTAAACATTGCACCCTCACATTATGCTGAGAGAACAAAAGGCCTTTTCTCTCACATAACATGTGAGGAACAAGTAAGGGATCATGTGGATGTTACCTAGGACTGCCACCTGGGTAACCACATACCACAAACTGAGCAGTGTGAAGAACACAGATGTATTGTCTCCTGGTAGCAAGGTTGACCTCTACTCAAGGTCATGAGGAGGGACATGCTCCTGTCTCTCCTTGGCATGGACATGACTGTCTTCTTCCCAAGCGTGTGTGGTAAGCATGTGTGTGTCCAAATTTCTCCTTTTTGTCAGATAGTAGATGTTCCTACTCCATTCCAGTATGACCTCCTCTGAACTAATGACATCTTAAACCCTGCTTCTGAAGAGAGCAACATCACATCCTGAGGAACTGGATTTTAACACAGGACTTTTTGGAACTCCTACATCGTAGAATGTCGACCTGTCTAAGTAGCACAAAGAGTCCCTAGCTTGACAATTTTGAAGTTATTAAGCCATCTCCATGTGACCACTTGACTTTCAGTCACACAGTTAAGTGCCAGTTCAGTCAGACTAGTGTTGGCCTCCTGTGGGGTTTCCCTGGCTAAGTGGGTAGGGACCTATATAGTTTGCAAGGAGAGAAGAAAAATGGCAAGTACCTGCTATAGCCCTGACCGCTCCTTCTGAGAGGTCCTGAGAGTCAGCAGCAGGTGGAAAACAGTACAAGCATTGCAAGTAGTTGTTACGTAACAGTTTGTGAATGGGCACTCTGAGGTAAAAGTTGCAACCAGAATGAGTTACCGAAGAGTCCTTCTGAGACCCACTAACGTTCAAAATATTTACTTTTTTTTTTTTTTAAAGCAGGTGTCACCATGTAGCAAGCTTTGGCTGGCCTGGAACTCAGGGAGATCCACCTGCCTCTACCTCCCAAGTGCTGTGATCAAAGGTGTGCACCACCACACCTGACTCAAAATATTTTAAAAAGAATCTCCCACTGAGGTGTCTGTTCAAAATGTATGACGGTTTGCAAGGATCTCACCACAAGAGAAAGAAAAAAAAAACTGATTCATCAGGAACGCCTTGAGAATTAGGTCACAGAACAGTCTTTAGCCCTCTGAATTGGAGAGAAAGGCAAAGGAAACAAGAGCTTTTAGGAGCAGAGCCTGATGCTGGAGCCAACCCTTCAGGAACAACACTGCCTGTGGTGGGTGAATAGACAAAAGTGTGGTGCAGATCCTCTTGAGAGAGAAAATTCTGCAGGGAGTGAAGGGGTCTCATCCTTTTGTCAGGGTGAGTTCTGTCTCCAGGAGCCCTACCAAGTTTTCACAACAAAGCTCTATCCCCTAGAGCTTCCTGCCATAAGGAGCTGAGAAGAGGAGTGTGCTGTGAGCTCATCTTCCAAAAGGCCCAGAACCTTCCATTTTTATTCTCCTTAATAAAACATCAAGTGCAGTGGTGCACACTTTTAATCCCAACACTTGGGAGGCAGAGGCAGGTGGATCTCTGAGTTCCAGGCCAGCCTGGTCTACAGAGTGAGTTCCACAGCAGCCAGGGCTACATAGAGAGACCCTATCTCCAAAACAAAACAAAAACCTTCAAGGTTTCACTAGATCCTAATCCACCTGGAGAAGGGCAAACAACTCCAGTTCCTGTAACCTTGGACAGGAGGAAGCACTAGTCCCTGCCTCCTCTCCCTGGTTCTTGTCTCAGGGAGCCACAGAAGGAAAATGAATGGGGCCTCTTAGAAAGCCAAGCGCAGATTGAGCAGAGACTTTGTGAAAGGTTGAGGCTGCACCAAAGAACAAGGGAATGCTTCCCACAGCCCTGTGTGTCCCAGTGTATCAATCTGACATTCCTGGCCTATAAACATAACCAGACGTCAAAGGCAACACTAAAGCTCTTGAGTGTTATGAGCCAGACCTGGATTTGAGATCTGCCAGCAGCTTCTATTCAGCTCCTCTGCTGGGTTTTCAGATCCCCAGTATCTGTGATATCCCAGCGATCAGGTCTCCCACAGCCTGCTAAACTGCTTCACACACATAGCCCGTCTGCTCACAGAGACCGTCTCTAGCAAAAAAGCTAAAAATGCGGAGCCCTGGTAGAAACCTCCAGGCTTCACCAGACTGACCCTACAAGGATGAAATACATTTCTTCTTCTTCTTCTTCTTCTTCTTCTTCTTCTTCTTCTTCTTCTTCTTCTTCTTCTTCTTCTTCTTCTTCTTCTTCTTCTTCTTCCTCTC